CACCTGACAGCCAATCAGAGGCCAGGACCTGATTGGCTGTCAGGTGTCATCCTTGTAGGGCAAGTTCTAGAGTTTTGAAGGTCCTGAAGGTGATTTCGGTGCTTTAAGGACAGTAACTGCTTCACAGTCCAGTCTGTTGTCCAGATGAACACCGAGGTATTTATATTCCTCAACCACCTCCACTTCTTCTCCCATGATGGAAACAGGGTTTGATCTAGCACTATTTCTCCTGAAATCTACAATCATCTCYTTTGTTTTGTTCACATTCAAGATGAGATGATTGTCCCCACACCATGTCACAAAGCGGTCCACCAGCTCTCTGTACTCAGCTTCCTGTCCATCTCTGATACACCCAACAGCTGCAGAAATCATCTGAGTATTTCTGTAGATGACAGCAGTCTGACTTGTGCTGGAAGTCTGAAGTGTACAGTGTGAACAGGAATGGTGAGAGTACAGTTCCCTGTGGTGCTCCTGTGCTGCTGACCACCTGGTTAGACACACAGTCCTTCAGTCTCACAAACTGTGGTCTGTTTGTCAGGCAATCTTTGATCCAGGCGATTGTTGAGGCCTCCACCGGAGTCTTCTGGAGTTTCAGACAAAGTAACTCAGGCTGAATTGTGTTAAAAGCACTGGAGAAATCAAAGAACATGATCCTCACAGTGCTGCCTGCTTTGTCCAGATGACAGTGGGTTTGTTGAAGCAGGTGTCTGATGGCATCGTCAACTCCAACCCCACGACGATAAGCAAACTGCAGGGGGTCCTGATGTGTGCTTGTTTGCTTACTCAGGTGGGTCAACAGGAGTCTCTCTAGGACCTTTATGATGTGGGATGTCAGGGCAACAGGTCTATAGTCATTGAGGGCTGATGGGTGAGTTTTCTTTGGTACTGGAATCAGACAGGATGTCTTCCACAACACCGGCACCTTCTCCTGGGTCAAGCTAAGGTTGAAGAGGTGTTGCAGAATCCCACAGAGCTGGTCTGCACAGGCCTTCAGGACTCTGGGGCTGACACCATCTGGACCTGCAGCCTTGTTCTGGTTCAGTCTCATAAATACATAAATGAAATTATGTCAAAGTAATGAAAATGCAGAAAAAATATTTAAAAATATTTTTCCGTTTTTCCTGACGGGGAAGACGGCGTGAAGCGACACTGTAAAAGTGATTCACACTGGAAACCCACAGCTCAGAAAGCTGCCTGTCACTTTATGAAGACATTTTGCTCAAACTCAATGTTGACTGACAGACGGACAGAAAACTGCAGCAGAGTTTAGGTGCAGCTCAGTCCTACAGACCAGCTTCTTCCAGGTGGACTTGGTTATGGTTTTGTGTTATTTCGCTTTGTTGTTTTTAAAGAATAGGAAACTTTAAAAAAAAATTTCCAACCAATGCTTTTTCTGATAAGCAGCGTTCCCACGGGTCCTTGAAATCCTTAAAAGTTTGTGAATTTGAAAGAAGAAATGATTTCAAGGACCTTGAAAGTTTGTGAAAACAGCCAAAAATCACACTTGTCCTTGAAAGTCCTTGAATTTTTTATGAGGATTGAAGTTCTCTATTCACACGACTGATTTTGATCATCTGTGAAAAAAATAATCATAATAAAATAAAAAAAATAAAATTTAACATTTGTTGCGGTGGATAACTCAGGATTACAGTAAACTGCCGTGGCTTTCAACAAATAACATGAGCCACAGTCATAGTTTTATCCAATCAGAGCAGAGTAGGGTGGGTCGTTCTTTCTGAGCCCAGGTGAAGCACCACAGCTTCTGTCCTCACCGAGCGTCTGGACATGTTCACATCCCCTCCTCCCACACTGAGCTGCTGAACCTCCCAGGACATAATTACATGTCCATGCATTGTGGAAATGAATGTAGGATAAACATTTAATCCACTTTCTTTCATTGATTCTGACTCAACAACTTCTATTGTTCAGTTT